ACGTAAGCAAACCAGCCCTTTTGGCACATCGGCTGGGACCGTATGCTGAATGTTGGGGAGGGGATGGGGTCCCCAACGGTCGACGGTTTACTTCAACTCGGTTGGTACGATAGGAGAGTACTGACGCAAGTGGTGCAGCTGGTCCAGCAGCTTCGCCAGAAGGACTGGTTTGCTCACCCTTGGACTAAGCCTTGGAGAGGGGACGGACCGTCCTCTCTTTAAGGCTTAGTTCTGAGGTAAGCGCCAAATTGTGGCGGTTCTAAGGACCGCGTTGAAGTTGTCCGTCCACCGTCGGGGACACCATCCCCTCCCCAACATTCAGCATACGGTCCCAGCCGATGTGCCAAAAGGGCTGGTTTGCTTACGTCCTCGATACTAGAATGTTCCAACAGCATTCCATCATTACAGATTCTTTTGATTGTTATTTTACATTTCGAAAATTGAATGTGCACGCATTCGTGCCTTCATTACCTATAGTGAAAATCATAACAAAGGCATCGATAAACAGAATTTGAATGTTTAATGACTTTTTCGATATTCAACCAAATATGAACATCATATGTTCAAGCGCTTCCTGTAAACGATCTTATTCAATAATCAATTTGCCGCCAAAGATATGGAATTTGGAATTACTCAAGTGCAAGCAAATTTGAAGGCTATTTAGGTTTCTCACGGAGGAAATTTGAACTTCGTTCATTTCATTCATAATATAAAATTCATGGATTCGAAGAATATTTTCATGGGAAAAGTGGATTAAATTTTGAAATTGGAACTAAAGGCATGCACGCATTTAATGACACCATGCTAATAAATATTTCTTTCGTAAAATAGAAAAGTGTTGAAGTAGGTGAAACTCCAGTTCGGGGGGGCCACTCCATTGCTATCTTATCCGTAGTACTAGAGAGCAGTTCTTTGGGCTATCGAACACTACGGATAAGATAATAAGTGAACGACTCATTTCGAGCGTACTTTTGATAAGGACCGGTGGATGTCCTACATTCCACACTACCTGCCCACATCCCATCCACTTTTCTGCACAGGTGATCCACCCTGGAGCTCCTGCACCCTTAGCCCTTTGCGGAGGTGTCCTTTCTCCTGGTCCAGGACCGTTCCCTTGGGTCATGGCAGGCGGAAATGTGAAAACGTTTCAGGGTTTCTCACCCATTACACCAATATTTATCAGAAGTCTACTTTAAATGAGTCGATTACGTGTCGTGAGCCCTCTAATCCTTATCTTGAGTATTGGAGAAAAAATGGAGTGGCCCCCCCGAACTGGAGTTTCACCGCCTGAANTACTCGACTGTTTTATCTCTCACCGGAAGTGTCTTGACTTAGGCTGAGCTTCTCGAAACGTTGAAGAACCCCTACTCCATACTCTATAACCCATGTCTGTTATATTGTCTGATTTCCTTTGCGGAACACTATTTACCTTTACTGCCCCACTCCTCGAGAACTGAGTCGGGTTTTAATCGAAATTTGCCCATGGCTGTGGATTACAAACTTGCCTCCAGGGGTAATTCGACCATTAAAACACGAATATCACGTTCGTTCACCGCTAGAACGCTCGCGCCAGAAGTGTTCCGGGAGTCATTGAAATTCGTTGAACTTGTATCCCAGATGGGTGCTCTTGACCCGTAGAACATGAATATCACATTAGTTCGTGCGAGTGAGCCTGTGAGCCTGCGCTACGGGCGCCCGCGCAAAACTGTTGTGATAGCGCCGGCGCCTGTGGCGCGGGCGCCAAGCGTTGTCGCGCTAAACCGATGTGATATTCGTGTTCTACGGGTCGAAATACCCCCGAAACAACTTTCTAGCCAAATCCTTAGTCATGGACGAATTTCGATCAAAATCCGGCTCAGTTCTTGAGGAGTGGGGCAGTAAAGGGTAAATAGTAAATGTAGTGGCCTTCCTTTCCCCTAAACGAATCTTCCCACGAATACTTCACTTCCTTCTTCAAGCGAAAATATGGCAAGGAATGATTTGAGCGATTTTATGCCTTTTTTTCGCGGAATGCTGCCGGAAATCTTAAGAGTGCTCTATTTGCAAAGACTACATTTCCTACTTCCTAAAACGTTAATGTCGCATGTGTTCCTATCTAGTCAATCCGGAAAAGCAACACTATCGGATCATATTCAGAATATTGTACTTTTACCCGTAAACCGTTCCTGAGAGGTGTTAGGGACCGGGGATCTACGAGTTTTTGTCATTTCAATCTCGAAAAAAATTCGGGTAAATTCCTTAAGTGTCAACGCCCGGGATGGAGATTTCCACGAATTTCATTCCATCAAATGTGGCATATGAAAGTGATTTAGACCAAATACAATTAAATAAAGATTTATCATTATAAACTTTTATAAGAAAAACCATTATAAACAAAATAATAGATACGGTTCGTTTCGCTCCTTCCTCAGACGAGCCTTATTATTTCGTCATCCCCGGAGCTCATCAGTGAGTTGGGATTGGCGAAATAAAGACACAGGGGAAAGACGAATAAACGATAAATGTGACAATAACTTGGGGCAGGGTCAACCGTTACGTTGGACCGACATTGGACCGACGTTGGACCGACGTTGACCGCTCTCCGCGCCGGCATTCGCACTCGCCTTGCGCGAGCCGTCTGTGTCTCCGTGCGTACGTTCACTCTCGGCATTACTCTCACACGCTAGAGAGCCATGCGTTGGACTTTGTCCAACGGACGGTTGACCCTGATGTGGGGGCTCATCCGACCTCCATCTATTATCCTCCCAATGACCACAACTTTCGTTGTTTCCCACGACTGCGTTAACGCTGTTGGTTCAAATAAATGAATAAATAAAAAAAATTTCCGAACCCAGAGGTGTGTAGGAGAGTGTAGTCTACATATGCGCCGCATCAGTGCGCACCACATACTTCCGCCCCCTCTAAATTCCAATGAAATTTTGTGCCATGGAGTAATGTCGTGAAGCCTCTCTCGCGAATGTTGGAGCTATTCATAATACTCTGACTACAAACTCGAACTTCCGCTATTTCATTATATTCCGGTTTTCGTGTTCCGATTTCCTGAAGCGGCATTTGTAACCTCAACAAAATGCATGGAAACAAATTAAGAAGATTCCCCTTTTTAATTAAGAAATTAAGCTTCACCTCCATGTAAGAAGGTATTGCAGCCACAAAGCTTCGATTCGCACCGCATAGTCCAATACTGCATTATGAATTCTTTCAAATCATTAACTTAACAATGGGTAATCTTCAGATCAACGCTCTTGACCTACACATCGCTATTTTTCAATGACTGAAAAAATTTATCAAAATATACCTATCGATATTGTCCCCTTCCAAATTCTTACTAATCATCACAAAACCTCTGCGCCAACGTTCCTCTTGCAATTTGCCCATAATAACTAGTTACACAAATAACCACCTAGCTTACAGTAGTCAGTTCCACACCCGTGGAATACGTCAGCGCGTTCTTACACCCATCCGACCGTTGCTATACACCTCCATCTGTTGTGTGCGTGCCGACGTATACGTCAATAGAGATAACGCTTTATTGCCACACTTATGCGGCCACATTTCACAAGTTTCAATAGAACACTAGGAGCTGAGTCAATCAATAAATCGATAACTCCAACATTCTACTTAGGATCGATCTACATATTGTGCCTTTTCAATATACATGCATGGCAAAGAGGAAGCAGGGCAGCTAAAGCAACATCGGGACATTTCAACAACTTCTCATTTATTTATGCACTTTTTGCATAAAATTTTGTCACACAACAAATTCCTTGGAATTTTGGGAAAAAATCACTCGTTTTTTTCAGCAGAGCATTTGTCATTAGGTTTATTTACTCAACCTAGAAGCCTACTCTTGGGCGAAAGTGGTGTAGTGGCAAATGCCGCTACTTACCGCGCACACAGTTCAGGATCTAATCCTGAATCGTATCGTCCAGGCCATCCAGGCTCCCATCCCTCAGTGATTGCATGGTTGGTAAGATGCGTGTTTGTTTGGATAAAGACACTGGCTTGTACATCGCTCCTTCACCCTCCCCCTCCAGTCATTGTATAGGTCAAACCGCATCCAAAATGCCACTGCAATTCGGAGGGGAAGGAGGGTGCGTGGCGCATCGTGAAAAGGGATTGATCAGCGCCGAATGAAAAATGATTTTTCCCTCATTATTTAACGTTTATTTACCATATTTTTTATGCATGCTTTAGTTATTTCTACATATCTGATAGCAGAAAATCTGCGCTTCTAATTTATTATTTATTAATTTTAGTTTGGTCTTCAAAATCTTTTACACTCAAGTCTGAACAGAGGCTACTCCTACTTATTTGTTTCCACTAATCACATTCGGTTATTAATTATAATAAAATTTCATTGGAGAAAAAATATACCGTATAATGAGGTAACGATATTACGAATTGATAGAAAAAAGTGCGAAAAATCCCATTTACAACAAAAATCGGAAAAGTTGTTGATTATGCTATTCTCATATAAAAAATGATTATGAAAAACAATAACTAAATAATAAAAAGTCTCACTAAAAATATTCTGTAGATGAAAACTCTAATAAATCACTAAATTACTCAATAGTAATATTTGCAGAGAAAGCTTTCTCCTGGCTGCTGATTTGAGCATTTACTTTGTTCTCGTTTTTACACAACAATTTCTGTGACCTTCAACTTATTTCTTTTACTGCATGATAGTGTTTATCGATTACTTCATCATTATCGATTTTTCGAAAATTCTCATTTCGTGACATCGTGCCCTTTGTATTCGCTGGCTTTCTTCACTTACGTTTTCTGCACTAAAGAACACTTCCTTCCGGTCGATAGATCTTATGGTTTTTTTTTCAAGGAATAAAAAGTAAAGAAATTTTTCAAAACAATTTTGATTAGGTAGGCCAATCAAGAAAAGCCATAAGATTCCGAACTGACAAATAAAGTGTGTTTACGCATTCGTCGCTAACAACTATGGAAGTAGTAAATCGATAAGTATGAGTTATTACAGTGTCACTCACGTCCGCTCTCGATACTGAGCTGTTCGAGTTGGTGCTCTGGCAGTTGTGAGCTGGCTTGACCCATGTTCGAGCGTTGACTGTGTGACGGACTGGTCCGCTCTCCGGCTCCTCCCGTCCGTCCGTCTCTGCACTCCAAACTTCCTGGCCTCCTTATCAGCGTGATAGTAGTGGTGATATGCCCAGACCATGTCATCCATTATGCGCCGAGAAGAGGGATTTCATGGAGGTGAGTGATGTCAACAGCGCCTAAATCTGCATTTCAATGAATGTTGACGTTTTTGTCCCACTTTCAAATTTTTCACAAAAACACTGACAATTTTGAAACAATTACTGCTCTTGGAACGAACCATGTTCAGGTTGCACTTATAAGACCATTCATAACTTCTTGTGGATTCACCAAATCCATTGAATGGCACTTTTCGTACAACATCAAAAGATTTGATGAGTACAAAATCAACCTTAGACCTCCCAAATCAATCTCCACATATGCTGACAGGTTGGAGCGCAGTCCAGTGGAGTGCAATTTTGAATGCGTAAAACAATAACCACACCTTCGTTAGTCATGGGTTGCGCCATGGTCTCATTTAGCTCATTATACTGCTTTTCGAACGAACCATGTTCAGGTTGCACTTATAAGACCATTCATAACTTCTTGTGGATTCACCAAATCCATTGAATGGCACTTTTCGTACAACATCAAAAGATTTGATGAGTACAAAATCAACCTTAGACCTCCCAAATCAATCTCCACATATGCTGACAGGTTGGAGCGCAGTCCAGTGGAGTGCAATTTTGAATGCGTAAAACAATAACCACACCTTCGTTAGTCATGGGTTGCGCCATGGTCTCATTTAGTTGATTATTCTGCTTTTCGAATA